ACTTGTAAGAACTTGTCTGTGTAAACTGCGGTGACAACTGGTCATCCCGGGTGTCGCGTATTGCGAATTAAACTGTAAGGGGATAGAGAAAAATATGGTAAAATGTGGTCTGAGGAACTGTTTGCCACAACATTAGTGATGAGATCTTAGTGTATGCCTGATGTATTACAGATTCACTAGTACAGTTTTCTTAAATAAAAAACGAATTAAATCGAGACGAAATAAGACACCACAATGACCCTTGTTTTATTGTTTATTGGGTGGGCATGTCACTCTACTTTCGTTGATATATGTCTGAGATACTTACCAGGTGGGCCAATATTCGCCTCCGTGTCCTTTATAAAATCATGACTTTACGTCATGTAATTAGTAAAATCTGGTAATTTTATTAAAGGACACGGAGGCTCATATTATGCTAGTTCAAAGCTGTGCAATGACTCTTGATGCTACGTGGTCTGTAGGGTGAAAGTAATATTCCTTAAATGTGGATTCATGAGACCAATCTGCCGTCCGTAACAAATCTTCCAGTCTGCATCCCAAGTTGAATACTTTAGATGCCATAGCTCCTCTAGTGGAGTGTGCCCCATATACTGAAGTATCAATGTTCGCAGAAGCCATTATCCACTTCACCCATCGGGCTATCGTTATGGAAGATACTGGCTGGTGTGGCGAATTGACGGCCAGAAATAGTTCGTGGTGTCCCGAGTTTCGAAATGCCTGTGTCCGTATTTCGTATTCCTTGAGGCAGGCAATCGGGCACAGTTTTTGGTTGTGCGGGAATGCCGGATATGACACTGATGTTGTCGCTGATTTTGTACGTCTGGATATGTTGAAAGTTACTCCCGTTGGAGTGAACGTGCGTGCGTCGACGTCCAATGCCCGGACATCCGAGACTCTTTTGCAGGATATTAGGCATAAGAGCATGGCCAGTTTCGCTGAAAGTTGTTTCAATGTGAGGTCCGAGTTCTGTGGCCATAGTTCCAAAAAATTTAAGACCACATTCACGTCCCATACCGTACTATATCGGGGTCGCGGTGGTCTTGCCAATCGAATACCGCGTAAAAGCTTGCATACCAGCAGATGCTTGCCTGCTGGAAATCCTTGGAAACCATTGTGTCCCGCCGAGATCGCTGACCTGTATACATTGATGGTCCGATATGCAAGTCCTTGGTCGTATAGGTGTGTAATGAAACACAACAGTTGGTTTACAGGGGCACATACGGGATCCACGTGTTGTTCCATGCACCAACTACTCCAGATGTTCCAAGCTTTAGAGTAGGATCGTCGTGTTCCCGGAGCCCAGGCTCCCGCCAGGAGTTCGAGAGTTGTTTGCAGAACGTTTGGCACGACCCAGGGACCCCGGAAAGGAGCCACGCTAACAACCTGAGTTGTCCCTGCGCCATCAGAGGGTGTGGATTCCCATCTGGGTCTGAGAGGAGATGTGGATCCTCGGGCAGCATTCTGGGAAGATCTATGGACCTCTCCATGAGTAAAGGGAACCAAGGTTGTGCAGTCCAGAATGGAGCTATGAGGACTAGGGACATCCGTGTGCGGTCGAGGTGCACCAGCGTTCGTGCCAGTAGGGCGAACGGTGGGAACGCGTATAGTCGTTTGTTCGGCCATGGTTGTAGGAATGCGTCCGTAGCTAACGCGTCTGGGTCCGGTCTCCAGCTGAAGAATTCCGGGAGTTGCGTATTCAACCGAGACGCAAACAGGTCTATATACATCGGACCCCACAAAGCGTGCAATCGTAGGAACGCCTTTCGGTTCAGGCGCCAATCGCTGGTATCCTGCAGATGTCTGGAGTTCCAATCTGCCACGGTGTTCGAAAGTCCCGGGATGTATTCGGCTCGTACTGTGATGCTGCGTTCTAAGCAAAACTGCCAAAATTCTGTGGCTAAGTCTGCTAAAATTTTGGACTTGGTGCCGCCGAGGCGGTTGATGTACTGGACAGCTGAGACATTGTCCATTCTCAGGATGATGGAACAATGTGTTGCGGGACCCAGGAGGCTCTTCAGTGCAAACGAACCCGCCATTAATTCCAGGCAGTTGATATGTAGTGTCCTTTCTGCTTGGGACCATTTTCCGCCCGTGGAGGTATGTCCACAGCGCGCTCCCAGGCCCGTGTGCTGGCATCTGATTCTATTACGCAATCTGGGTTGTTGCCGAAGATTGCTCTGCCGTTCCACGCTTCCATGTGCTGCAGCCACCACCTGAGCTCCTCCTTGGCTGTGTGGTCGAGTGGCACAGAGTCTGAGTAGGAGTGTCCTGAGCGCAGTTGTGCGGCTTTTAGTCGCTGTAGGGCCCTGTAGTGTAGAGGCCCTGGGAAGATCGCTTGTATGGAAGCGGAAAGGAGTCCAATTATCCTGGCTAGTTGTCTGACCGTAAGTGTTGGTCGAGCCAATGTTCTGCGGATCTCCTTCTTGATGATTTTCATCTTTGTGGATGGCAGGCTTAGGGTCCCTAAGACCGACCCTATTTCGAACCCTAGGAATTCTAAGGACTGGGAGGGGGTTAGTACCGACTTCTCCCAATTGATTAGGAATCCTAGGTTCCGTAGTAAAGTTACTGTCCAATGTAAATGTTGTTGTAGCAGTAGGGTGTCTTGGGCCATGATCAGCATATCGTCCAGATATATGATCATGCGGACGCCCCTGCTGCGCAGCAGCGCAACCACTGGCTTCAGCAGTTTTGTAAAGCACCATGGCGCTGACGATAGGCCAAACGGAAGGCACTGAAACCTCCAGGTCTGGGAGTCCCAGCTGAATTGTAGGAGATGCTGACACTCCTTTGCAATGGGGATGGTGAGATATGCATCTTGGAGGTCTAATTTGACCATCCAATCCCCCAGCCTGAGAAGGTCTCGCAGGCAATGAATCCCTTCCATTTTGAAGTGGTGATATCGAACAAAAGTATTGAGGGGGCGGAGATTGATCACCGGTCTTACCCCACCGCCTTTCTTGGGGACCAGGAACAGATTGCTCATGAAACCTGGGGAGTGGGGTGCGACCTGATAGATCGCACCTTTCTCCGCCAGTGCTATGATTTCTTTCGACACCAGTTCCCTGTCCTGAGGGGCGAATACCATCCGCCGTGGCATTGTGGTTTGGATTGGGTGTGAGACGAACTCTATGTGGTACCCCGCTACTGTGTCGAGAATCCAGGCATCGGACGTGAGTCTGTGCCATGCCCCGATAAATTTGGAAAGTCTGCCCCCTACGTGCGAGGTATGAGAGAGGGGAAAAGGAAAAACACTTACCATAAGGTCGTCGGCCGTATGTGGCGCCCCTGTGACCTCTGGGTTGCCATGATCTGCCCTTGACCGGGAAGAAAGGTGCTGGGGTTCTGGTCTCCGCCTGTGGGACTCTTGGTGTCGTGGGGCCCCGGTAGCCCCGGTGGGAGCTCCGTGATGGGCGGCTGGACAGGCGGCCCCTGTACCTGCCAGCCCCTCCAAAAACCTTCGGGGAGAACACCCGTTTTAGATTTGTTTGTGCCTTATCCAGGGCTGTGAATGTGCTCACGTAGGTGCCCAGCTCCTTTACAAAATTGTCTCCAAAAAGGAGGCCTTTTGCCTGGGGTCCAGGCTCGGTTATGGCCATGTTGACCAGCTTGGGGTCTATTTTCATGAGAATTGCCTTTCGCCTCTCAGTACTAAGTGCGGCATTTGAGTTGCCGATGAGGCAGATAGAGCGTTGTGCCCATTCTCGGATCACTAAGGGGTCTAGTGGTGCGCCACCTGAGATTGTCTCTTCGACCAAGTCGAAGATCTTTGCGCTAGGGCCCAAGGAGTCGAGCACTTTATCCTGGCAGTGGCGCAAGGAGTAGTCCAGCCCTTTCTTGGCTTTCCAGCCAGCCTTACCCAGGAACTGGGCAATCTTGGGGTCCACCTCTGGCGTGGCGCACGCCATATCAGGGACCGTCGGGCGTGGGCACTCTGCCCTTAACTTATTCCTGGTTGTTTTATCCAGGGGCTTCCTTATTCTGGCCGCAATATATTGGGCCACATGGTCAGCTGGGAACCAGTCAGTGGACCTGGGGTGCTGCAGGTCGTCAGGGTTGAATAGGGGCTCGCCCTGGGGGTCTAGGATGATGGAATCATCCGTGGGCGCTTTTCCCTTAGCTGGTATGACTGCCAGGTTGCGCTCAGGGGAAGAGTTCCCTGATTCCAACGAGTCGATTTCCTCGGACTCGCTCATTACCTCCTCTATGTCCGAACCGGAGTCGGATGTCTCTGTCTGGGCTTTTGCCCATTTCCACGTCCTCACCGCTTTTGCCCGGTGGGTGGCTCTTTTGCGTGGGGGCCCCACGTCCTCAGTAGTGACAGGGCGTATCCTGTCCGTCGTGCTGTTTTTGGAGGTGTGTTTGCCCATATGGTGGGTCTTCTGCGTAGCCTTACGGCCGCTGGGGGGCACAGGTTTGTCAGGCTGGGCCATGGGGCGCGGGCCGCTGGGATGGCTGCTAGACGCCAGTAGGGCATTACTAATGGATTGTGTCAGGGTCTCAGACATCGCCCCCATAGCCGTGGCTATAGCTTGGGTGACCGACTTGGTCATGGTTGCATCCAGGAGTGAGTGAAACTCCTCCGAGTTTAACTGATCCATGGATGCCACGTCTTCTCGCAGTGGCGAGCATGGACGTGGTATTTGTGGCACGTGAGGAATGGTGTCCTTACAGGTATCATTGGGGGTGGCAACCCCGTGGTCCCTAGGATGGTGCATGACAGGAAGGTGTAGTAAAAGGCACCTGGGGTGTGGGGGCAGTGACACCTAAATGGCTGAATTACCAAGTGACACAAGAAATTTGTAACAGGCTGGCACCAATGTGTGAGGGAAAGAATGCCCCAGTGACACTGTGCAGGGGCTAACAGGAAAACCAACTGTGGGCAGTGGGCTAGAGAAACTGTGCAGGTGAGAGGATGCAGGCACAAACAAAAAGGCTGTCAGCTTACCAAGTGCTCCCCCCGGAATGGCCGCCAGGGAGCACTGGTAAGCTGTCAGCCAATGCAGCTGGCCAATGAGAGAACGCCCGCCCTCTGGAACAGGGCGGGCGCGGAGAAAAAGCGCGGCAAAGACCGGCCGGCTAACTGCAATGGCCGCAGTGCCGAGCGGCCGCTATTGCGCATGCGCGAGCGGGCTCTGGATTCAGAGCGCTCGCGACGCGAAACGGCCGCCGCGGCTACAGAGGAACGAAGAACGGGTAATAAACTACCCGGTAAGGTGTGGGAGGGGGTAACCGCCGCAGGGGGGGGGGGAGAGGGAAACCCCAATGAACAAAACGTCTATCTGCCTAAGGCAGACAGGCGCCGGCTCTCAGAGCCGGCTAAGTAACCCACACAAACATTAAGACATCAAAATTAAAGATACAGAAACAAAACAAGTACAGTATAAAATCAAAATGGTGCTCTGAGGAGAGCTAAAATTAGATGGTACTTAGCTGAGGCAGCAGCAAAGAAAGAGGAAGAGGAAAGGTCACATGAATAGTTATAGATAGAGGGACTGTTCCTATTGGTTAAGGGTATGATGTTGGGTTAACCCTTGGAGAACCTGTTAAAACTTTTTTTCTATGAATGTTTATACCTTCTCTTTGCTGCTGAGGTATAATAAAGAAAGAGATAAGCATAATATGAGCCTCCGTGTCCTTTAATAAAATTCTTTTTTTTTTTTCTTTCTTTTTTTTTTAAAAGGAACTGAATTATTATAAATTGTGGAATGGATTTCTCAGCCACTCTCTCTCCCCCCCTCCCTTCTTTATAATTCTGTTCCTTGGTAGATTAACACACTGTTTCACTAACTCCTACTAAAGGGGATTACTGAGAAATCAAGTTTTAGGCTAACAGCAAAATTAGAAAAATCCTCCAGTTAGTGAGATTCACCGATTTGTGAATGTCAAGTTAGGTGAAAATACTGTTACTGCCTTTCATTGGCATGTATATTCTGGTTCATAGTTTAAATATATTATCCAATTTTGTGAAGAGGAAAAAAAAAAAAGTAGAAGCTGTACTCTCACACACTGAAGCTCTAGCTAAAGGATCCCAGAGATGTGACTTTCATGCTGGGGTCAAGAATGATTTTTCACTAGACCCATTCTTCTTCTGACCGTCACTCATCTCAATTTCTGCAGTTGATAATAATACTCCACTGCCCTCCATTATTTAGTTAGCATTTAATTGTGCATTTTTTTCATTTGGTTATCAGCTTGCAAAATTGCAGATCTCTTGTTTTTAGCTTTTGCAAAAAAAAACTGAACCAGATTTTCTGTGGCTGTCCAATCAGTCTGTTTCCAAGACAGGTGTTCTGGGCAATTGCCTTCCTTCTGGGTTTAGCTCCACTGAGCTAAACCACTTAGGGACACCGCTTCAGAAGCTGAACATACACTTAAAGGAATATTATAGGGTCAGGAACACACATGTATCTTTGACCCTATAGTGTTAAAACCACCATCAAACCCCCCCCCCTCATGCCTCCCTAAATATAGTAAAATCATACTTGTATTCAAGCCTGAAGCTGTAGCTCTGCATGCTGTTTACCTCAGAACAGCAAGCTGCCTGCTGACAACATCAGAAGTGATGGCCTGGTCCAATCACAATGCTTCTCCATAGGATTGGCTGAGATTGACAAGAAGGCAGATCAGGGGCAGAGCCAGCACAATTCAAACAGCCCTGGCCAATTAGCATCTTCTCATAGAGATGAATTGAATCAATGAATCTCTACGAGGAAAGTTCAGTGTCTGCATGCAGAGGGCAGAGATACTGAATGTTTGGATGCATTTTAGGCAGCAATGACCCAGGAAGGATTTCTAACAGCCATCTGAGGAGTGGCCAGTGAAGTTATCACTAGGCTGTAATGTAAACACTAAATTTTCTCTGAAAAGACAGTGTTTAAAGCAAAAACCCTGAAGGTCATAATGATTCTACTCACCAGAACAAATGCAATAAGCTGTAGTTGTTCTGGTGACTATAGTGTCCCTTTGAAGACACAAGCAATTTTTGCATTTTTTTGCGGATTGTGTTCAACTGCAATTTGCATTTCTCTCGTTTATTGTACCAACACATATTATATACCATTTTTGTTAGAAGACAAAAAGGGCTTTAACACCTTAGTGACCTGACCATTTCTCGATTTTTCTTACCGTTAAGGACCAGGGCTCTTTTTACATTTATGCGGTGTTTGTGTTTAGCTGTAATTTTCTTCCTACTCATTTACTGTACCGACACATATTATATAGCGTTTTTCTCGACATTAAATGTTCTTTCTAAAGATTCCATTATTTTCATATCATACAATTTACTATCAAAAAAATCTAAAATATGATGAAAAATTTAAAAAAACACTTTTTCGAACTTTGACCCCCAAAATCTGTTACTCATCTACAACCGCAAAAAAAACCCCTGTGCTAAATAGTTTCAAAATGTTGTCCTGCGTTTAGAAATACCCAATGTTAACATGTTCTTAGTTTTTTTTTTTTTGTTTTTTTTGTAAAGTTATAGGGCTATAAGTACAAGTAGCACTTTGCTATTTCCAAACCATTTTTTTCCTAAAATTAACAAAAGTTACATTGTAACACTGATATCTGTCAGGAATCCCTGAATAAACCTTCACATGTATATATTTTTTTAAAAGAAGACAACCTAAGGTATTTTGAATTTTTTCATGAAACCATTTTACCACCAATCTATGCCAAGTTGTCAAAAAAAAAAAAAAAAAAAATTTTTTTTTGACACACACAGCAATTTAAGAATACATGTACAGAGAACTAACGGTTACTGGCAAAAAATACAGCAATTTGTGTTCAGCAACATCTCCCGAGTACAACCGTGCCCCCAATGTACAGGTTTTATGGGTTTTTGCAAATGTACAGGGGTCAAATGTAGGGCTTTTCCATGTTGGCACATTTAAATTTGCCAGATTGGTTTGCTGGGCCTATGTTGCTTTTGAGACCGTATAGCAGCCCAGGAATGAAAATTAACGCCATCATGGCATACCATTTGTAAAAGTAGACAACCCACAGTATTCAAAATGGGGTATGTCCAGTATTTTGTAGTAGACACTTAGCCGCGAACGCTTGCCAAAGTTAGCGTTCATATTTGTTTTTTTGGTTTGTTTTTTTACACAAAAACTACACCTTTAATGCGGATTTCATCGTCGTGATAAGCCTTTCTGTTGTAAACACTCTTATTTCTGTTCAGCGAAATCTCCTGAGTATAACAATACCCCCTCATGTACAGGTTTTATGGTGTTTTGGAAAGTTACAGGGTCAATATAGGGCTTGCCCAATTCAGTTTGCCAAGTCTGTGTTGCCTTTTGAAACCATATGGTAGCCCAGGAATGTGAAATAACCCCATCATGGCATACCATTTTCAAATGTAGACAACCCAGGGTATTCCAAATGGGGTATGTCCAGTCTTTTGTAGTAGCCACTTAGTCACAAACGCTGGCCAAAGTTAGCGTTTTTTTTTTTGTTTTTTTTTTAATATATATATATATATATATATATATATACACACACACACACACACACGTTTCCTATACATGTATATTATAATTAAGGTATTTTATAATATATATAATTTCATTATAAGTGTATTTTGAGGTGTATATATCTCAAGGTACACTTATAATGAAATCATATGTATAATATATTATAAAATATTTATTTTATAGTACGTCCACGGTCGTTAAAGGCATATACATATATGTATATAATTTCATTCTAAATGTATTTTGATATAAATATAGTAATATCAATAGTTAGAATAAAATTATATAATTTTTTAAAATTGAGTTTATTTTTATAATATATACATAATATATAGTTAATGTGTGTAATTTTACTCTAAGTGTATTTTTATATTATATGTATATATTAAATACTTAGTATCACGTTATGAGATTATAGATCTAAATATGATTTTTTTTTAAATTAATATTATTTATTATCTTTTGTTTATATTTTTTAACTTTATTTTTACTTTTCCACCAGCAGGGGCACTGCCTGTCCATTCAGCCAGTCCCCTGCTGGCAGCACTATGGACACCCATGAGCGTTCACATGGCCCCTGGGGGTTCTTTTTTTTTTTTTTTGCAGAGGGGGGACTCTCTGGGCTCAGTCCAAAAAAACATTTTATAATATAATGAAATCATATATGTGTATAATATAAGTGTACTTTGAGATATATATACACATCTAAAAATACTTATATTATACATAATATATATAAATAATTTCATTATATTATAAAATACTTTAATTATAATATACATGTATAGGAAATAAAATTGAACAATTACCACCACACCATTTTTTTTTATTTTTTTTTGGGGTGGGGGGGCTAAAACAGTTGCATCAAAGCACTCCATATACAATACCTCGGGGTGTCTACGTTTCAAATATATACACTTTCATAGCAATAAATAAAACTGGGGTATGGGATAAGCCTCAAGCTAAAGATAGGCCTAACAGAAGAAATACTCTTCATTTCAACTCAAATTAAAAGTCATACAATTGTAACTGTACCTTCCCAAAAGCCTGGCAAACCTATGCATGGGGGGCATGGGTGTACTAAGGAGGTCTTGCAGAAACCAACAACAGGCTCTCCTAAATCACAGTCAAAAAGCAATATGTGTGTAAAAATGAAAATTGAACAATTACCACAACACACTTTTTCCAATTTTTTGACTAAAATGATTGCATCAAAGGCATCAAAACACTCCATATACAGTACCAAGGGGTGTCAACATTTCAAATATATGCACGCTCATGGCAAGAAAATAAATTGGCATATCTGAAAAGGCCCCCAAAAAGAAGATATGTAAAATTTGAAAAACACGTCAGACGATTGGCTTTGCATACCCGTGGGTGCATGATGGCCAGCTGTTTTTTTTTTACATTTTTCATCATATTTTACTTTTTTTTTCCTAGTAAATTATATGATATGATATGAAAATGGTATCTTGAGAAAGACCATTTAATGGCAAGAAAAACTGTATAGAATATGTGTGGATAGAGTAAATGTTTAAGAGGAAAACTTACAGCTAAACACAAACACTGTAGAAATGTAAAAAGAGCCCTGGTCCTTAACCGTAAGAAAATTTAAAAATGGCCAGGTTAAAACAAAAAAAAAAATTATGAAATACTGTGCTCTGTATTTTGATCACTACAGACAGTGATCAAAGAGCAGGGAAGGGGTTAATTCGTAATGAAAAGGGGTGGCGGGTTGGATAACCGTAAGAAAATTTAAAAATGGCCAGGTTAAAACAAAAAAAACAAAAATTCTGAAATACTGTGCTCTGTATTTTGATCACTACAGACAGTGATCAAAGAGCAGGGAA